CTGTTGTTCACTGGTACCTGCTACAGGTCAGTCACTTAGCAGTCAACTCCTTCCTGTCCAGTTTCAGTTCACGTAAGTTCGTGTGCATATACACCTATTTTTATGCATTTTTAGAATTAGGTTGAATTGTGTTTTAAATGGATTAACATGTCAGATACTTGATAATGTATGCTTGGGACCAGGTGTATCGTGTGTTAATTTGGTATCATTGTTTCAGTCTTGTTAGGGCTTCCATAATGTGGATAAGTGGTGCAAGGGACTGGTACAGTATACCTGAACAGATGCATCTGCAAGTACAGTGGAACCTGTACAGTTTTGAGCTGCCTTACTCTGATATAATACTCTGCTAGAGTATTGCTTGTTTGCTCTAGTTCTGCTCAAGGAAATGGGTGTGTTCAGAGTTCATGTGGGCAGTCATTTTATTACATTCCATGCTAGTCCACATAGTCTAGATGATTTCCTTCTTTCTTGGCCCCTTTCCGCTGCAGCGTGGCCTCGGGGCACTTGTCTTTTGACTGGCTTTGCTTCAGTTGGGGTTTTTGTCTTCCTTTTGGTTCACCTCGTGCTGTGGTTGGTTCCGGGATGGAGTTTTGTGCTGGCTAGGTTGTTTCGTTTTTTCTGGACTCTGGTTGTGTGGGGGACCGCTGATGGCATTTCTCGTCATGGCAGTGGTGTAGGGTTCTTGACGGTTCATTTCTCTTACCCCTTGTTGTCTTTGGTGGTCAACGTTTTCTGTGTGCTTTCCTGGGTTGTGGGTAGGTTGTGGCTTTGTCCACTGTGTTTGACCATTTGTTGGGTTAAGGGTTGCACTTGAGGGTTCTAGTGTTCTCAGATCTTGGCGGCTTGTTACTTGGTTATTGTGCCATGGCCGTGACGAGCCTGTGTAGTTTTGAGTCACTTTCCTGTCTGTTTCTCCTTCTTGGGGTTATGGTCTTCTTTTTCTTCACTCTTGTTGTTTTTTCCCCTTGTACTTTTGTTTTGTTTTGTGGTGAGATAGCAATAGGGAGCTGCTGATGGAGTCTGACCAGAGAACCAGCATTGAATGTAATGAAACTCCTCTTTCTGGTGAGTTATTTTGCAGCTCACCATTCCCATTTCAGCTCACCATTCCCTTTTTTAGGTGCATTGAGGGTCTTTTGGCCTTTGATTAAAGACTGGTAATGTAGGGAGGTAGAATAATGTGTCAACTGGATCTTGAAGTACCAGGTGGAGGTAGCAGCATTATAACAGTGTTTTCAGTATGGTTGAGAGCGGCCTGGCTACTAAAATTACAAGCTTCCAGGCCGCTCACAACCATTCTGACGACATTGATCTACACCCTCATCATCTCTGGTGACCACAGTGATCTAGGCATTTGGCTCCCCCACTGCTCTACCTGTTGTTCACTGGTACCTGCTACAGGTCAGTCACTTAGCAGTCATCTCCTTCCTGTCCAGTTTCAGTTCACGTAAGTTCGTGTGCATATACACCTATTTTTATGCATTTTTAGAATTAGGTTGAATTGTGTTTTAAATGGATTAACATGTCAGATACTTGATAATGTATGCTTGGGACCAGGTGTATTGTGTGTTAATTTGGTATCACTGTTTCAGTCTTGTTAGGGCTTCCATAATGTGGACAAGTGGTGCAAGGGACTGGTACAGTATACCTGAACAGATGCATCTGCAAGTACAGTGGAACCTGTACAGTTTTGAGCTGCCTTACTCTGATATAATACTCTGCTAGAGTATTGCTTGTTTGCTCTAGTTCTGCTCAAGGAAGTGGGTGTGTTCAGAGTTCATGTGGGCAGTCATTTTATTATATTCCTTGCTAGTCCACATAGTCTAGATGATTTCCTTCTTTCTTGGCCCCTTTCCGCTGCAGCATGGCCTCGGGGCACTTGTCTTTTGACTAGCTTTGCTTCAGTTGGGGTTTTTGTCTTCCTTTTGGTTCACCTCGTGCTGTGGTTGGTTCCAGGCTGGGGTTTTGTGCTGGCTAGGTTGTTTCGTTTTTTCTGGACTCTGGTTGTGTGGGGGTCCGCTGATGGCATTTCTCGTCATGGCAGTGGTGTAGGGTTCTTGACGGTTCATTTCTCTTACCCCTTGTTGTCTTTGGTGGTCAACGTTTTCTGGGTGCTTTCCTGGGTTGTGGGTAGGTTGTGGCTTTGTCCACTGTGTTTGACCATTTGTTGGGTTAAGGGTTGCACTTGAGGGTTCTAGTGTTCTCAGATCTTGGCGGCTTGTTACTTGGTTATTGTGCCATGGCCGTGACGAGCCTGTGTACAGGCATACCTCAGAATAAGAGTTTAATCCGTTCCTGGAGACGCCTCGCCTTCCGAAAACTCGCATTCCGAAGTTAATTTCCTCATAAGAAATAAAGGGAAATGAATTAATCCGTTCATGACTACCCCAAAAACCCCACATCAAACTAAATTTTTATACCTAATTTACCTAATTCATCTAAATAAACCTACAAAACTGTGTTCCAGTTATTACTTACCTTGCTGTCGAGTGCTGTAGGCGTATGGAAGATGGTGAGGGGGGGGGAGGAGGAGAGGAGTTACTGTTTGGAAGGGGAGTCCCCTTCCGTAATCACATCACATAACCCCATGCCTTGTAACACTATGGATACCACTTCTCTTTATAAATTTTTCAAACCACCCCCTGCTTGCCTTAAACTCTTTCTTATCTGCATCACTCGTTGCAGGGGTATTCTTTAGAAGGTCTTCGTGCAACACCCTGGCTTTCTCACAAATAATGGCCTCCGAAACACTATCACCCCTCAACTCCTTGTCGTGTATCCAAATTAATAACAACTTTTCCACTTCTTCAAGTATTTGTGGTCTTTGTGCCGTTAATGTTCTTACTCCTTTTGCCACTTTAGCACCCATAATCTTATTTTTCTTCTTAAGTATAGTGCATATTGTTGATGTGGCTTTGTTGTACTGCCTACAAAGTTCAACAACACGTGTACCGTTCTCATGCTTCCGAATGATCTCTTGTTTCTCCTCTATTGTCATCCTCACATGAGCTTTCTGGCCTTTATCCTTACCACTGGCTTACTTGGGACTCATGGTGAGATATATAATAACATTGTATAGACAAATTACCAAAAATCCAACAAAACACTGAAAATCCGCGACAAGAATTGATGTGGGGGTAGTCACTGAACGCGAGACAATGGTAAACTGAGGGCCAGCGGGGCAGAGGGGCGACGATCGCCGAACCACCACGCGCTAGGTCGGCTGTACGCGTATCAACAAACTCGCGTCCAAACTCGCCTCCCGAAGTAACCATCGCCTTCCGAGACAAATTTTTGGAGTAAATACACCTCGCCTTCCGAAAACCTCGCATACAGGGACAATCGCATTCCGAGGTACCACTGTAGTTTTGAGTCACTTTCCTGTCTGTTTCTCCTTCTTGGGGTTATGGTCTTCTTTTTCTTCACTCTTGTTGTTTTTTCCCCTTGTACTTTTGTTTTGTTTTGTGGTGAGATAGCAATAGGGAGCTGCTGATGGAGTCTGACCAGAGAACCAGCATTGAATGTAATGAAACTCCTCTTTCTGGTGGGTTATTTTGCAGCTCACCATTCCCATTTTTAGGTGCATTGAGGGTCTTTTGGCCTTTGATTAAAGACTGGCAATGTAGGGAGGTAGAATAATGTGTCAACTGGATCTTGAAGTACCAGGAGGAGGTAGCAGCATTATAACAGTGTTTTCAGTATGGTTGAGAGCGGCCTGGCTACTAAAATTACAAGCTTCCAGGCCGCTCACAACCATTCTGACGACATTGATCTACACCCTCATCATCTCTGGTGACCACAGTGATCTAGGCATTTGGCTCCCCCACTGCTCTACCTGTTGTTCACTGGTACCTGCTACAGGTCAGTCACTTAGCAGTCATCTCCTTCCTGTCCAGTTTCAGTTCACGTAAGTTCGTGTGCATATACACCTATTTTTATGCATTTTTAGAATTAGGTTGAATTGTGTTTTAAATTTATTAACAAGTCAGATACTTCATAAAGTATGCTTGGGACCAGGTGTATCGTGTGTGTGTGATGGTTTTTGTGTGCGCGTTATGTACATCTCTTAGCATTACCGAGAGAGCACCAAGAGGACACAAGTGCTATTATATTCTATTTCACATGTTGGCTCTTTTAATAAAAAAAATAAAAGCAGCCTCAGCACAGGTATTTCAGAATCCTGTTTTCATAATCTTTACTGAGCAACATAATTCATGGAATGTTGCTAACTTTTTCTATGATTTATATATAAGCAAATGTTAGAATTTAAATTTTGTTCTGCATTAATTGGTGCATAATTGACCCTCATAGCTGTATAATATATAAATTTGTTGGGCAGAAAATTGTTGTAAATTGGAAATATTTCCCACAGTGCTTGCTGGCATTCTCTTCCAAAATAACCATCTCAAAAACATTGATCTCTGCTCAGGAAAGAAACCACCTTCCTCAGTAATAATATTTTAATGTCTTTGTATACTTTAGGTGTTTTGGTGTTGGCACTCACTGCCTTGCCAGATATCCTCAGGTCATGTAAATTATACCGTTTCTTAAAAATAAAAATAAAAATAAATAATATATATATATATATATATATATATATATATATATATATATATATATATATATATATATATATATATATATATATATATATATAAATACATATACATATATATACATATACATATATATACATATATATATATATATATATATATATATATATATATATATATATATATATATATATATATATAACATAAATATATATACATATATATATATATATATATTATATATATTATATTATATATATATATATATATATATATATATATTATATTATATATATATATATATATATATATATATATATATATATATATATATATACATAAATATATATACATATATATATATATATTATATATATTATATTATATATATTATATTATATATATATATATATATATATATATATATAATTTTTTTTTCTGCAGGTGCACCAACTTGAGGTTTCCTAGCAGTTGTCTGTGCCTGTTGCCTGTGAGTGTTCCTTCAAGGATAACGGAGGCTAGATCCATTACATCAATTACATTAATGTAATGTCTCGTGTCTCATTAACAGGTATTGTATTATAATTACAAATGTCCATTCAAAATATCTTGTTAATATAATGAACTACATAATACTTTGAAGTTCACACTTGTATGAACAACTTGTATATGTAAAAACATAAAAATTATGTAATGACTAATTCAAAGGAATTCTTCCTTATATTTCTGATAGGTATTGTAATTTGTATGCAAAGTGAGAGGCTCTGTTATCTTCCCCTGACGTATTGTAATTGTTCCTTTGCTCAAATCAGTAAATAGACAGAAGTGAGTGAACTAATATTTGAAAATGTATTCTGCCATTGACAATTCTTAATATAACGTTGAAATTTATTTTAATACAAAATAATTTATTCTAATTACATTTAATTATCAAGATTATAAATATAAGGTGGGTTGCAATTGGCAGGTTTTGTTTCCTGCTAAAATGTTGGTGTGCTTTGTTGTAAAAAGCAGAATATATTTTATGGAGTAACCTGGAAATATTATTTTTATATAACTTGTAGTAAATAGTTTTTAGTTTCAATTGATTACCTTTACTGGAGTGTGTTGTTATTACTGTGGTGGTCTTAATTGTATCCTTCTAAGCTTATAATCCAATTGGTATTCAACTGTAAGCCAATTGGTATTCAACTGTAAGCCAATTGGTATTCAACTGACATCTCTATAGTGTCATGAGGGCTACTGTGTGTGTGTGTGTGGGGGGTGATGCATGTGTGTGTTGAATACTACAAATACATGGTGTAGTACACTAAACTTTTGTGTAGGTATGGTGTTTAATATTATGTCTTTTAGACAATATGATGATCAGTATACATCATCAATCAGTATGGCCTTAAAGATAATAATAACTATCAAAGACTTTATTTTGAAAGTAGCATTTATTCACTATTACACAGTAAATGGTGTCATTCTCAAAGTCATGAGTATTAAGTTTCTCTTTTCCAAGTAAAAAGTATAACAAATTTATTATGAATAGGTAAGTGTGTTTTGGCATATATTTAGGAACATATAGGGAAAAGGGAATGTAATGGGGAGGAATGAATGAATTCTTGGTACTATATATTAATAGGTAATATTACTACTATATATTACTAATAGGTACTATATTATTAAACTCGCTCCAAAAAATTATAGCCAAAACTAGAAAGAAACAAAATGAAACTAAACTGAAAGTGAATGGGAGGGAATTAATAAATGACAGTACCCAAGAGGAATTCCTGCTCTTCTGCCTTGAAGCATGGTGACATGCACAAGCTCTCTCCCTCACACACAACTGGGCACCCCACACCCCCTTTAAACACCCCCACACATACACCAGACAACCACACATTGACTAATACCGACACCCAGAACCTGTCGCATTCATTAGAACAATATGAAATAATGGAGAATTTTCTTCTTGGATTTTCTAGGTGACTTGCAACTTACCCAGTCACAACCCGTTGTTCATTCAGTCTAGGTCTCATTGTCCAAAAAGCATGTGGTCCTCTGAATTCCTGAAAACCTTATGTGGAGTATTACAGGGGAATGGTTTTTATATACAAATATGTAGGGTTAAATTAATAGTTAGTTATTCACATGTATGCTCACCCTAAACTTGTGGGCTGGCCTCTCCCAGGGTAACTTGCTGGAAACGAGACCACGACCTGACCATCGCTGGCCCGGTCCCCAGTGATAGATCACAAAGTTTACAACCTGTTGTTTTAAGAGATGAAGACAATTTAGCCAGGTCCCACTGGATAAGTGAAACTGTCTGAACATATAATCATTTATTTCACTAAACCCCACACCCACTTCTAATAAATATTCTTATTAAACAGAACTTACTCTACTGCCACTTTCCCACCTGGTAATAGGTGTATGGACTCGCATAAACAAATATCAACACTGTAAAGCACCATGAAGACCGTTAAAGCCGCATCAAAACACTCCCTCTAGATCCTCTCATGGAGACTTTGATCTCGAATGGTCCTTGAGTAGCTTTTTACATAATAATAATAATAATATTTAGACTTTGTGGCAACGTGGAAAGAACAGGACTTACTGATAAATAAATGTTCAGCTCAAAGCACCACATTTCTCTCTCGCTAGAATCTGTACAAGTTAAATTCCTCTCTCCAGCTCCTGGCAGCGTTTACTAAACAAAATTGTACTGTACTGCAACTGTCCTGTACTTCGTCAACTTTGCCAAATAAAACTAAATTATCACAACTTCATAATCCTACTGGCTATGTTCTATAACATAACTTAGGTTATTTTGAGATGCTTTCGGGGCTTAGCGTCCACGCGGTTCGATCCTCGACCAGCCCCCCTTTTTGTGACACACGCCCAGGAGGCATACCCAAAGCAGCTGTCTAACTCCCAGGTACCTAGTTACTGCTAGGTGAACAGGTGCAACAGGGTGAATGAAACTGCCTATTTGTTTCCACACGCACTGGGGATCAAACCAGGAACCTCAGAACTATGAATCCCAAGCGGTGTCCTTTCGGGACAGTAACTTACTGCATCCAAAGGCTAAAACAGCCATTAGTTTACATTTTCACGGTTAATCGTGGCACCGTAGTTAATGATAGGCATTGTTTGGTGGCTACTAGCATTTACAAACAAGACCATTGATGCTGTTTTGTGGAATTACCTCTTAAGGATCATTTCTGGGCTGGATTGATTAATTTCTTGTAGCTCTGTAAAGCATGTCACTTGTACCTGATTGCACAATCTAATATCCAATGACAGTAGGATTTTGAGGGAGAGGAATGAGTGTGTTCAAGGCGATTGTGCCTTTGTTGACCATTGCCCTTTTTCTTGTTACCAAAATTACATTTATAATTGTGATTTTAACATATGCATACAATGTAATGTATGGTATTAACATATACAGTAATGTCGTTATCCCTTTTGTTCTGAGAAGTGTTGACTACACACACAATTACAATATTTGGTAGACCTAAGACAAACCTGGGTGCCTGCATTGGTTGAAAGCATAAAATTGGGAGAAACAATATACTGTATTGGCAATAATAAGTTCTTTATGATCTTTCATGTTGTGATTATACACATTTAGTCAGATTTTCACAATATTTCCTAGCAAGATGTTAATTTTCTCTATTTGGCCTCTAAAGTTTGAAAGTAACTTGGTTTGGGCTAAATAATGTTTGAAGCCACTCTGTTAACAATATATGACACTGACAGCACTAACAACAGTCTGTGAATATGAATGAATGGAGCTTGACTGCAGAAGCACCATACCATCTTGTTTTATTAAACAATTGCAGTTGCAAAATTATTTAACCAGGGTTAATTCTTTGCAGAAACTTCACGTGATAATTTAATGTTTAAAATAATTCAAGTATTTTGACTTCACACATTGTTTCATGAGTAAGCCCTTTATACCAAGTTTCAGTCTCTGTGGGTGAACTATGGAGGTACTAAGTTTGGATACAGATTATCATGGATTAATGCTGATAATTTGCATTAATCCTTGGGTCTTCCACATTCTTGGGAGTAAGTCAGGCTCCCACACACCCTATATTTAAACTTCTAGGGTTACAGTTATAGATCATTGCACATCCCAAGCATTCTGGACTATATTGTGAGATGAATATGTGGCTGATTTGCATGAGGGATGTTCTCGGAATAGCTTGTTCATATTGAATTTGCACGAATCAAACTTTTGGTTAAGCTGTATAAAAACCTCTTAAGGCCCATATTGTTTTCTAGTCCTGTCTCTTAAAGCATATACAAGACAATATTTGATTACTACAATCCCCTTTTTGTCAGACTTAATCATGCTAATGAGTACAGTGATGATACTTATTGTTGTAGAGCTCATTTTATGAGGAGATAGATTCTATAGGGTGAGGGGCATTGTTGTTGAATTTCACTTCTTCACTGGAAGGTGCTTGTGACAACCTTATGTTGAGTGAGGCATAATGCAGTGTGTTTGAATATAATGTTGCGTAGGGATAAGTAAATGTTGTGTGGTGTCTGCACTGTAGGTGCATGGCAGCTTAAATCCCACATCATTGCTCTTGTCACCAGAAACTATTTATTCCATATTAATATCATCTACCATTTGATTTTCCGAAAGACAACGAAGGTAAGGGACACGGAACCACCAATTAGCACAAAAGTTGGTCAGGGGCATTGGCCATTATCCTGTTTTTAGTGCCTTTTGACATTAAAGCTATCTTCTCTGAGTGTTATTGTGACAAACTTCAATCTCATTCCATAGATATTAATACATCTGTCTGAGATATTAATACATCTGGCTTCATGCAGGTCCACGTTCAATCCCCGACTGTCCAAGTGGTGGGGCAGGGATTCCTTTTCCCCCGTCCCATCCCAAATCCTTATCTTGATCCCTTCCAAGTGCTATATACTGTAGTCGTAATGGCTTGGCACTTTCCCCTGATAGTTCTCTTCCCACTTTCTCTTGTTATAAACTTAATAAATTGTTTTATTTCCACTGCTTATTTCTTAAATTCCTACCTTGATGCACACAGTAATTATCATTAGTTTACATTCGTTTACAACTTCAACTACAATGATAAATAGGTTATAATTGAAAGAAGGTCGTCACAAAATGTGGTGTGCGCTATTAGGGTAACGGTGTCGTTCATCAGTCCCCCATGAATTTTTTTTTTTTTTTTCAAATTCAATTTAAAAGTACTTTATCATTTTCTGGATATTTTTTTTAATGAATGGAAAGAGGACACTGATCAATAAAGTGACAAAATTTAGTCTGTAGGTGCAATACGTCTATAGATATTAATAGAGATAACCTGTCAAATTTTTGGAACGGACCAAATATTTGGCTGCCCAGGTGCATTGTCCAACCAGTTGAATTGCTAAATTTGTAAAGGAATTTCACTAGCATAAACATTTATAAAATGATCAGTATTAAACCTATCTTCTTTTTGGAAGTTTTGCTCTTCAGCAACGATTATTAGCCTTGTTTTCCTTAAGGTTAGTAATTTCCTTTTGATAAACATATACAGTACTGTACTTTCTAGTGGGGTGTTTTCTCAGTATTTAGCAGATCTCTGATCCCTCCAAGCACTCCTTGCTTTGAAAGGGGGAGGGCTCAGATTCTAGTCCTGGCCAAGGTAGGTAGGCTCGAAGGAATTTTGAGAGGCTTGGCGCAGTTCCGTAGACACTCGGCAACCCCAGTGTCATGGCTTTCAGGGAGCTACCGAGTGGCCCACCAGTAGTAGTTTCATCACATGCTTCTGGTATTCTGGTAGTCTTGAGACTTGCTCTTTTAGCTGCCAACTGTTCTTGGTGTTTTTTTTTTTTTTTTTTTTGCAAAGTTAGAGGGAAGAATAGCACATACTTAGAATTTAGATTATGTATTTGAGAACTGTACAAGTTGTATGAGAGCTTGAATGTTTACTAAGGTGAAATGATAGTAAACTCTTCTTGAAAAGCAGGATGGTGTGCCCTCTTTGCCCTTTCGAATTTAAATAATGATTCACTTTCCAGATTGCTGAATATATATATATTCTGCTAATTCTACCATAAGTTTTCATTGCTATTACATGATATAACTCAATCATTTGCACATTTACAAATAACATTAGATTTATGATAAATTACTAATCAATGTTAAAATATTTGTTAACTTGTATTTCTGGTGATCCTTCACGTTTACCATAATGCTGTTAAGTTTTCATCTATGCTCAAAAAAATTTATAAACATTTTGATAAAATCCAAGTTGTAACCCTATTAATAATAGCCTTGAAAATGTGAAATGTTTCTTAACATTTAATACATCTCTGATCAAGCATTTTGAGATGGATTGGTGACTGGCTAACTAAACATGTGGTACACACCTGGAACATGAAGGTAACAAGAATCTTTATACAGTACTTGCACATCTTAAATTCACTTGGCTGAATACACAGGCTTGATCACTGTCTGACTACTGGCATCAGTGGCTCAAATGTTAAGTGGCATGTATCATGAGTACCACTGAGGGTTAAGATCTGATTACTGATGTGGAAGGCAGCTTTGTGTTGGCACCTGTATACTTATCAACTTTCACCAGCTCACTGTAGGTAAGGTGGAGGCCTCTCATCCTGGGCGGATTGGAACCGTTTTGATTTGTATGACATGTTGTTTTCTTAAAAATAGATCTAGTTTCTTGACCTCTGCAGATATTTTTTTGTTTAGATTGTTGACATTGCATTTTGTAATGCTTAATATTGTTTTGGCCTGAACAGCGATTTGCCCCTTATCTGGTTTGGGTTTAAGGTTTCGTCCATTTATAGAACGTTCCTTGAAGAGAAGTCTGTAAGTAGCTTAACTTATGTTCTGCTTTCATCTTGGTAGGGATACCTGTCCATTGTTCATTCATCTCTACATGATTTAAGTATATAAATGGATGAAGGGGTATTATAATAATGATATAATAAGATTTTGAATGTATGGACAAAAATAGAACTCGAAACAATTGATATAAATTGGTTACGTATTTTTTCAGGAAAGATGTGGATAAATATTAGTTGGGAAACAGGGTTGTGCATTTATGGAACATTACTGGGTAACATTATAGACATGATTGTTTGAACCATAGGTTAGACACACTCTACACTCAATAATCTGAATTATATAGGTCCCACTCCCTTTTAAATTAGCTAATATTTGTTGTTCCAAGAATGTCCGAAAAGAAAAAATCTAGTATATTCTGGTTTCTCCGTCCGTCAGAAATCTCATTAACTCGAATTTGTATTTGAGTTGAGAGATCTAGGTTATCAAGGCCTTTACAATGTGCTTGGTACATATTCATGCCTTGGTCTGTTCGTTTCACTAAAATTTTTGACAAAGGGTGTGGGCTTTTTATTCTCCATGCTGCCTATTACCACAATAGGGACACAGCCATTAACGATAATTCCCACACCTGTATATGGGGATTTTGCATTTTTAGCAGGTTGATACGTATCCTGGTCTTGCAGACCGTCTCCTGTCGGCATTTTTATATAGAGGGCAAGTTTTTTTTTAATTCAGATGGACAGCTGTATTTTTGTGTGCTGCCAGTTTCTTTGGTCTAGACTTCTTTCAGGACCACAATGCTCTGTTGTTCTTACCTATCCATGATGTGTGGTTAGGGAAGTTCATTTGTCCTCTTTATTATCCCATGCTTTTGGTATGTATTTTTTAGCTGCCGTTTGTTCTTTGTAGACCCAGTAACATTGCATTCTTGTTTTGTAGGTTTGTCCTCAAGATGCTGTTTGTCTGGTGGCAGCTTGGTGTTGGTTCCACATGGTTGGCCATACTGTATTCAAAAGAATGGGTTCTAAGAACATAGGAGTAATGTACAATTGGGGGAGAGCAGTTACACTTACTAATAAATCCACTATTATGCAAAACATTTTGGGCAAATGTTTAACCTCTTCAGGTCCCTAATGTTGGGTTCACATTTCTGGTTAGTCTTGTTCTCGAGGATGATTTTTGGCTTGTCAGTTTGGTGGTTCGCACCAGCCACAGGAGTACCCATTTTAGATTTAACTTGATACCCAGCTTTTATATTGTTCTGCAGGCTGGTCCATATAATCTAGAGATAATAGATTTTCTGTATTTTCACAAAGTTCCTGACAGGAGTAACACTTGAGTTGATTTCTTGTCCCGATTTTTTGGCAACATGCAAATGGTTGTATTCATATCTTCCTTTTCATGTGTGTAATAAATATTTGTTTGAAGTTTAGTGGGTTTTTATTGTAACTGGATTTCAGGTCATGGTAGTTCTATGCTAGGCAAGCATCATTGTCACCACACATTGTAATTTTGTGCTGGGTGTTCACTTCAATGACTTTTTGACTTATAGTGCATACCATGAAATAATGTGGCTGGTCAACATCAATAATAGTGGATCACTGTCTCATTCCCCTCCTTATATAACATATTTGAATACTTCCTTTGGCAGCATTTGCAATTGTAAATCACTTGGTAGCAGGTACCAAATCCAAATAACCAACTTGGCTTTTGGGCAAATCTGCTTACTAAATGATCAGATATAATAATTGTTTATAATAGTGCTTTAGCCATTCAGGCACAGATAGCTTAGACAGTGCCAGTAGTCGAGATAGTCAATAGCAGGCAAATAATATTGTGCCTTACATTTCATTATGTTTTTACATTATTTGCAGTGACATTCAAGGTAATTTTTCTTGAAATGCATTCTCTCTGCACTTGTGTACATGAAGTAAATAACATCATAGTCAAAATGCATGGTACAGGCAGTGAATAGAACATCATTGTGCATAAGAATATAGTTTTTTTTTTTTTACTTGGTGCTTAAATACTGTACTGAATAACCTAGAAAATGTACCCACTTTTTCAAGAAGTTCTGAAAGCTCCCCAAGGCCAATTTGAGCAGCTCCAGTGGAGTTGCTCAAATAATAATTGTAATAATCTATTACTCCCCTATCACTTTAATTCTCCAGATATGCTCAAATTGGCCTCCAACATATAAGTATTCATGCCATGATCTGAAGATATCCCAGTAGAATTGATTTGTAGGTTAGAAGTGACTGAGAGTTGTATTCCATTGGTGCTCCCGAGTTAATTTTATAATTTGTTGTTGGGAATATGTTGTTTTAGGTTCATTTTAAGTATATTTCACATAAATGTGTGTATTTCACTTTTTTCCACGAGAGCAAGAAGACATTCCTTTTATTGCACTGAAATTTATGCAGTACATGTAATCAGTGTATATTTCTATGCTAAAATTAGTTTATATGTTGCTTTATAAATATATATATATATATAATATATATCATAATATATCTATATAATATATACATAAACATAATATTTAATATATATATTATATATATACAAGGGAGTACTGTACCACCTCTGGCTGGAAGAAGGGGAACCCTTAGCCTCGGAGGAAACCACACACAACGCATTAGAGGGATGTTTAGGTCCCCTCCAATACAGTTTGTGTGCTTTTCTCTTACCACCCTCTTCCTTTTGTGTGTGTGTGTATATATATATATATATATATATATATATATATATATATATATATATATATATTATATATATATATATATATATATATATATATATATATATATATATATATATATATATATATATAATATATATATATATATATATATATATATATATATATATATATATATATATAATATATATATATATATATATATATATATATATATATATATATATATATATATATATATATATATATATATATATATATATATATATATATATATATATATATATATATATATATATATATATGTCGTACCTAGTAGCCAGAACGCACTTCTCAGCCTACTATGCAAGGCCCAATTTGCCTAATAAGCCAAGTTTTCATGAATTAATTGTTTTTCGACTACCTAACCAACCTAACCTAACCTAACTTTTTCGGCTACCTAACCTAACCTAACCTATAAAGATAGGTTAGGTTAGGTAGGGTTGGTTAGGTTCGGTCATATATCTACGTTAATTTTAACTCCAATAAAATAAAATTGACCTCATATGTAATGAAATGGGTAGCTTTATCATTTCATAAGAAAAAAAATTAGAAAAAATATAATAATTCAGGAAAACTTGGCTTATTAGGCAAATCGGGCCTTGCATAGTAGGCTGAGAAGTGCGTTCTGGCTACTAGGTACGACTATATATATATAGTCGTACCTAGTAGCCAGAACGCACTTCTCAGCCTACTATGCAAGGCCCGATTTGCCTAATAAGTCAAGTTTTCATGAATTAATTGTTTTTCGACTACCTAACCTACCTAACCTAACTTAACCTAACTTTTTCGGCTACCTACCCTAACCTAACTTATAGAGATAGGTTAGGTGAGGTTAGGTAGGGTTAGTTAGGTTCGGTCATATATCTACG